CCAATTTCTACGAATCACTACACAAGGAATGTTCGATTTGAGGAGTAATACAACAACAGAAATGTAACCATGACTATGAAGACACCTGCAAACTGTAACATGCAGAATACCAAACTAGGTTATCTATGTTCAAGAAAAATCTGGAAGAGTTCCGGCTTACACTTGCTCAAAGTAGCTTTTAACAGCTCAAATAATCCAGCTACCATTTATCATCTTCTACGCTTCTGGCCTTCTAAAACAACTTTACAACAACTTTTAATTACTCCTCTAAGATTTGTTTCGGGTCCACTCCCATGTATTCTATTATTATAAAATGTAATATAGAATGGTAATAAAAAGACAGCTTCTTATTTAAATTTATTTTAACTCTCCCTTATTTTGATAAATAATCTTAGATCCCTTAATATTTTCTTTCAACACACAGATTTTGTTTTGTATTGGTCATTGGCAGAGTATGTGCTATCTAAATGCTTCCCTAAATGAGAATCAAATTGACGTTAATTTGCTAGCATAGGTGAGGGAATGAAAAAGGGTATGATACAGGCCTTTAAATTTAGGAATATGATAATGCTGGGGGTCTTTCAACAAAACCAACTGCTATTTATTTTGCATATTTATATACAACTTTCATTTCCCATATTATTGGCCCCAAATTCACTAAAACAGTATGAAGGGGCCTTAACATTCTCTGTACAGTTTGTTGGAAAAAGTAAAATCTTCTGTTAGAGCATTTGAGAAAGTGGAATGATTTATGCATCTAATATGTAAGGAGTCTTTATTTAATATACATAGAATGGAATTATGTCTTGCTTGTATTAGTACTGTTACACAGCCATTTTGAGTTTCCTATGTATTCATCAAGGAGCTTCTTTTCTACTATCCCTAATGCTAGCATCAGCAGTTATTTGGTATTGCATAGACTAAAAAGCCAAATTTTCTTTGCTTAGACATAATGCTGTGCAGCACCATTCCAGTCCACAAACCAAGAGTGTTTTATGTCTCAACATTCACAGTATTGTTGATTGAAATAATATTCATTCATTGAGCAAATGAAGTAAACAACTCATTCCCAAAACCATGCATCTTCACCTTTAGTAAGGGGTTTGACACACACTCAACTGTGATCATTGCTATGTATGCGAATTAAAACCAGCAACTGTAAAGAACTAAAGGTGTTTTTACAGAGGGCATAAGAAAAAGGTAACAATTGCATGCTAGGAGCAAAATGAAGTAGTCATCGGTTACCTAAGCAACAAATTTTTCTTCCTCAAACTTTATACAGAAGTACCTGAACTGCTTTGTATTCCTATGAAACGAAAATCAAGCACTGAGCCACTTCATTCACAATCCACTGCAAGTGCTTTCCAAGAAAACAAAAATTCTATCAGAAATGGTAATATCTAAACCCACATCAATCTACGGCTAAAAGAACAGGGACAAAACAGAAGATCACTCTACAACAGGAGTTTAAAGTAAACAAAATATACTGAAAACAGGTGCCAGGTCTGTCTGAAAAATGTGTACTTTCTGCTTTTCCAATATAAGCAATACCTGTTTTAACTCAAAGAAATGTATTAAATAAAAATATGCTTGCCTTTAGTGGTACTGCTTTTTTTATTCAACAGAGCACCAACTGTAGGATTTGCTTATACTAAGCCATTTGTTACAACTCTACTGAGTTCTCTCTCTCTGTCAACTACGGCCTTTTCAGTACAGGAAAATGGGAGTATCAGTTATAGCTTCCCAATTCTGAGACAGTCTGCACAAGACTTTTGACTGCACCAGCTCTACTATGGTCTCGAATTGTATCCACCATTGAGAAACCACCACCACAAAATTGGAATTTTGGCCTTACTGAACACTATTTCACATATTTAACAGTGAGATGACAGCCTGAAATTATTTTTCATTCAGGTAGGGGACAGAGAGGGAGGGGAAAAAAAAACAAACCCACATACACAACAAAAACAATCCAAAAATGCAAAGTAAAAAATCAGATGTCTTAAGCATGGGCATTTTTCTTCACAGCAGACTGCTCTCACAACTAATAATTAATATGTTTCAACAGTTATTTGCTCAAAAAATTCTAACAGAATTTTAAACCATCATCATCAGAATATGCCCAGATAGAAGCCTTAAAATTCATTCTGATAAAAGAGGCAGAATGACCTTCGAAAGGTTCTCAAGAGATAAGCCTGAGGAGTGAAAAGACCAAGAGACAGACTGTGATAAGGAGGAAGGGAGATCCATTGATGAGCTGAACCAACCAGTTTAACAGGAACTTTCAGAAGCTGCAAGTTCATTTCTGAAACAGAACAGTAGATCTCCACATGCATACAGGGGAAACAGACTCCACTTAGCGCCAGGCACACATTTTTACCACCCTCCCCCCCCCCAAAAAAAAAGAGAGAGAGATACATTCTTGTCCAAAATGCAGTTTAATTTATTAATTCTTGATTCCTCTGATCATAATAGCTATCAGTAAAAACCAGTGGCAGTAGATAAGAGGACACCAAAGAGACTATTCTCCTCTACTCACTCAAGAGCAGATAGGCAGGAGAAAAGATTGTTACTTTTTTAAACAGGCAGTGGGATGTAGGTGACAAAGTGCTATAGCAAATAGGAGGGAGTTAACGATGCCAAAGATAAGTAGGGTGAAACGTAAAGATTATAGACACAGTAAAATTAGAGATCTTTGACAAAGATGACAAATTAAAAGCTTTTATTTATCAAGGTCTTTCAAAAGACTCATCAAATTTTCTAGGCACAATTCTCAAAACTGTTTATAAATGCAAACTGTAGAACAGTAGGCTTTTCAAAGATGCTACAATCCCAGTAGACTATCCTGTCATGAAATCCTGATCTCCCTCTCCAGAAACACCCAAAGAAGTACACTGATCTTGCAGATAGGCTTGAAGGTCAAAGCCAAGTTCTAAGGAACCAAAACGAAAGCCACCTTCTTGAAGCAAGCATGCTTTGTTTACAGGAATATCACATCACTCCACTTCGTAGTATGGAGATGGTGAACTAGAGCACCCAGCTGTGTTCCTTACTCAAAATCAGATATATTGCTTGGCTGACAAATTAACAAAAAAACCAAAGAAATACAACAAAACTTACCTCTGGCTTTGGAACAAAAGCTTGACCTGGAATTACGAAACAATTTTCAACAGTGCAGAGATGCTGAGACATGATGGACAGTCTGCTACGTTGCTTACCTCCTGGATTAGCTGTAAGCCTCTATTGAAAAATCAAAACATGTAAATCAGTGAAACCGAACTGACCAAATGGTCGGTTACATGAAAGCTTGATTTTCAGTATAATCAAAAACAAAGACAAATTAAAAAAAGCAATCAATTGTTAAGAACTCATATCAAAGTTCATGGCCAGTTCACCTAGATTTTTTTTTTGTCCAATGTAGCAGCATTTCACAAAGATACCATGCTAATTTACAACCTCAATCCTGCAATCAAATGCACAAGAAAAGGAGCTCCTTGAACTTCTGCAGAACTTAATGAATGTCAAAAGAATCTTTTACAAGCACAAGAGAAAACTAAAACTATTCTGATTGCAGGATTCAAAACAAACATAACATCAGCTGACAGTATTTTCACATCCTTTCCTTCCGCTGTTTCTATAGCAAATATTACCGTTTTTTTCTCCTTCAAGATGAAACAAAGCTCCATAAACTCAAAAATCAGATCGAAACCAAAATTTCTTCATTATTAATTGGTCTACGCTTACAATAGATGCAAGGAAGCTGGATCTACTTTACATAAATTTAGAATACCTAACAATAAGAGCATTAAATACTTAAAGCTCAATTTAGTAATTCTCTGATTTTCCCAAGAAATTTCTTATAAAGATTATTAAAAAAGTAGCTGAGACCGAGGTTTTCTACACTTTCATGACCTAGCAAGAAACATGTTCTGTGTGTTTTGCTAGCACAAACAAGATTTAAACATAAAAAGCACCCAGTAAAACAAGTCTCAAATGGTGAAAGACATTACGCTAACTATGCAGAAATAGAATTTTGAAGATTCCTGTTTGTATTTACCACAACCTTAATAGAAAACAAAAGATGAAAACCAATTTGCATATCTGGTAACATCATGCAGCTTCAGACAAAAAGCCTACTCATGAAATGCTGCCATGCTTATTAAAACCATCCCTGAAAAATAAAACTAAACCTATTGTTGAAGTTTTTAATTTTT